TGAAATTAAATTATAACATTGTTCTCCTGGTTTTGTGAATAACCCAGAATTATTTGACAACAAAGTTTCAAAACGTTGTCCAAAATTGCATTTAGAAAATCATTAATTCAACCAGGCTTCCCTCTCCCATTTTTGCTATTTTGTCGTAGATTTTTTTAAAACTCCGTTCTACGTTTATCATTTTTAGTGATTAAACCTCCACATGTAAATTGATCTTTACAGTATGATGTTTGAATATGATTTTATTAAAGGACACAGAGGCTCATATTATGCTTTATCTCTTTCTTTTTTCCTCAGCAGCAAAGAAAGGATACTGTAATATTCATAGAAAATTTTAAACATGCACCCTCAAAGGGTTAACAACATAACATGACATCCAATCAGAATGATCATTGCACCATAAGCCCCCATGTGACCCTAAGCCTCTCCTCTTTCTTTGCTGCTACCTCCTCAGCTATGTACAATTTATTTTTTCCTGTCATTACCAGCAATTTTAGTGTCATTTTATGTGGTTTCATGATTTATGTTTGTTTACCCAAGTCACTGCTTCAGTGCTTGGTAGTTTCTCTTTTAGTGAGCTCTGTTCTCTTTGTAGGATCTTTCGGAGTCTTACTTTGTCCTAACTTTCTTTGATTTTGTCCTGCCATTGTTACCCACTTTTTGTGTGTATCTGTACTTTGCACTTTATAATGCAATCACAGAAAGAGTTGGACACTGCCACTAATGGTTATTCCTCTAGTGCTACTAGGCACCTTGCACCCCAGGTGGTATCTAGAGCCCCTAGCCTGAATAATATAGACAAAGCCTCGCGGGAGCAAATGAACTCAGAAAAGCTTCATTCCCTCCTGGATGCTACTAAGTCAGTGACTCAAGCCATTTACTCCTCTATGGGGGCCATGTCAGACACATTGTCTCACTCTATAACCCATGCCCTTATGTCCACCCAGTGGACACCTACCTACATTTCGCCTAACGCCCCCGGAGAATAAACCGGTGACTACCGGTGGGTTTAAAGCGGCCAAAAAATCCTGTCTCCTAGACGAGGATGCCTCCAAAACAATACAATCGGACAGGGAATGTCCTGTCAAAGATGATGTGGTTGCACCACAACAAAGAACCACCCACCGAGCAAAATCAGTGAGGAGTAGGAAAAGGGCAAAAGCCCTAATCAAATCATCCGATTCTGAATCGGAACAGGAGGAGGCACTAAGCGAATCCGATGACGAGGACTCTTACAATTCAGGAACATTTTTTCCTTATCACGGTTCTTTATCAGTGTCTGGGACTGACCTTAAATTCGGTGGGAATGAATCCACCCTCCTTGACCCTCAGGGTGAACCACTGTTTTGATCCAGATGCATTGCAACTTCCAAGATCTTCGGAGTGGTACCCTTTGGATCATGTGGCGAAGTATATTGCCGCACGTATCAGAAAGCCACTTGATAAAATGGCAAGGAAGAAACTTTGGATTGAATGCCCGCGTTTCACGATTCCTGATTTGGCATGTGTCACCCCAAACGTAGACCCAAAAATCACCCAATTTCTGTGAAAAACAGAGTAAAAGGCCAAGAAAGGCCTATATTTTTCTTTACGTAATTGCTATGACAAAATACTGGATGTCCTTGGACCCACTGCTAAAATATTCGACATGGTCGAAATGGCCCTGGCAGGTGGTACCCCTGCAGATTTGCTGGCCATCGGGGGTTTGGATCCAGCGAACCGTCTGTTTGCTTGGCAATGCCAATACGGCTTTGGCCACTGAGAGACGCAAGGCAATCCTTATTGAGATCAAAACAAATTGGTGAATTTGGCTATATCTGAGCCTGGGCCACAGGTAAAAGGCCTCCTTTTAGGTGACAATTTTGTAAAGTAACTGGGCACGTATGTGTGGACTTTTACAGCACTCGACAGGGCGCAAGCCAATATGAAAAAGGTATCCTCCCAAAGAGTGTTTGCGGGGGCAGTCTGCCCAGCCGCTACTCCCGTGGTTCTCGAGGCTCTGTGCATTCCCGATTCCAAGGTCCATATCCTAAAACTACCTCGTCATGGCAAGAGGGGTTAATTTGATTGTATGGAGGTCAAAAGGGGTTACATCTTTTGAAGCTGGAACCCCCATAGAGGTCAGGTGACAAAAGGGGTAGTGTGAATGGCATAGGAATGTGAAAAGGATTTTACCATATGGATTTGAATTAATCAAGACTCTGTGAGGTGTGAGATTCTACACTGAAAAATTGAAGAGTGGATTTCTTTTGATATGTTAATGAGCATTAGCTTTGAAGAGAAGAGAAAAAACAAGCCGTGGTTTCCAGTATCATATCCAAAAGAAACATAAATATTCACTTACAGAATAATAATTAAGCCTCATTTTTGTTATATTTGAAATGCTCCCAGCACAATCTCTAATCAAGCCCAAACATGGGTTGCATAATTTGACCATAGGGGAAGTATTGCGATGTCCGCCATATTGGGTCGCAAGTACGGTGTGCAACATGTAGATTGGGAAAATAATAAATTCGTAGATGCAATTATTATTTCTGTGGCAGGTACATAAGAGAAGATAGAGACAAATGTTTCCATTTGGATTGACGTGGATCTGGACACAAGGGGGTGGTCACTTAGGGTCTTTATAGATACGCCTTAACTTCACCTCTGGGTGAGGCATGGTAATCCAGAGGGTATATCTCTAAACAGACTTAAGTGTGCATGGTACTTGCTTGGAGTCAGAATCTAATTTTGAAGTGAGTCACCATCTTTCCTACCAGTGACACCCTGGGGCTGAAGAGCTGAGTAAGTGATTAGGACTGTTATTTTATCTGTTGTTGGTGTAAATAATTTGTTTATCATCTATATTTTTGCATGCACTGTGACTATTTTTTGCTCATAATAAATATCCCTTTATTAATGGACCATGTTAGAGGACCATGTGGCGTTTTAATTGCCTGCGCTTCGGGCTCTCATCGGCCCCTTGGTGCTTCACAAAACTAATGAAACCAGTGATTGCCTTCCTACGAAGCAGAAGGGTTCGTCTGATTATATACTCGGACGATATACTTATGATGGCGCAGGATCCTCACATACTCCGCAAACACTTGGCTTGGACAATGACTTTCCTATGCAACCTTGTTTTTCCTCATCTGGTACAAGTCGGTCCTCGAACCCTCCCAGTCCATGGAATTCTTGGGTTTCACCATTGATTCCATATGGGGGGGCTCTCCTACTGCCACCTTCCAAGGTCAAGGCTATAAAAAAAAAGGAAATCCGTCGGACGCTGGCACGTTTTGCTCTTCCACGGAGACAACTGGCCAGGATCATCGGCCTTCTTTTAGCCTCAATCCAAGCCATTTTTCCAGGTCCGCTTCATTACAGAGCCCTTCAACGCTTAAAAGCAAAACACCTTCTTTTGGGTCAGATTCTGTTCATCTCGACTGCTCAGCCAAAGAAGAACTCAACTGGTGGTTGCAGCACATGGAGGCGTGAAACAGATGAGCAATCTATGGGACTGCCCCGGATTTCGTGGTGGAGTTGGATGCAAGCATGTTTGGTTGGGGAGGGCACTGTGGTCCTATTTCCCCTTGAGGAAAATGGTCCCCAGACGAAAAGGGGTTACATATCAATTGCATCGAACTACTGGCATGCTCGTTTCCCCTTCGGAGCCTGTTCGGAATTTCGACCAGCTGCTCCATCCTTCTACGTATGGACAATATTTCGGCAGTTTGCTACATCAACCAACTCAGAGGCACGAGGTCCACGGTTTTGGCAAAGCTGACCAAGGAATTCTGGCTGGATCGCAATATCTCGGTTCAAGCGGAATACATTCCCGGGATGGCCAACATAGCAGCAGATTGGAACTCCAGATACCTACGGGATGCCAGCAATTGGAAGCTGAATCATGCATTTTTTTTTCTCCACCTGCAGTCACTCTGGGGCCCTCTGAATATCGACTTCTTTGCATCACGGTTGAACTCCCAACTACCAAAGTTTTTCAGTGGGAGACCAGACCCAGAGGTCCAGGAGTCGGATGCTTGCCTTTAGTGGTGGCCGCACACTCATCATTACGCTTTTCCTCCCTTCGTCCTGATAGCGCGGACACTACTACATCTCAGATGTTGCCGGACCTCCTTTCTGGCCGACTCAACCATGGTTCCCTACACTCAAAGATCTCGTCTTCCATGGAATACTTGTGTCATCCATCTACGAAGTTGCTGTTTCTTCTTCACGTTCGACCATAAGCTTACTTATATTGAGATGTTCGTCGGCATCCTCAAGAAAGGCTTAGGGTCACATGGGGGCTTATGTTGCAAGGATCATTCTGATTGGATCTCATGTTTAAAATTTTCTATAAATATTACAGTATCCTTTCTTTGCTGCTGAGGAATAAAGAAAGAGATAAAGCATATGAGCCTCCGTGTCCTTAATAAAATCATGACTTTATGTCATAAAATTAGTAAAATCTGGTAATTCATTTCAAATCCAGCACATCACAGCTATCTTAAAAGGACACTCTAAGAACCAGAATCACTACAGCTTAGTGTAGGGTTTCTGGCATGAATAGAATGTCCATGCACTCTGAGCTATGTTAACACTTCTTTTTCTGAGACAAGGCAGTGGTTCCATTGGTGAGTCAGACACTAAAGGCACTTCCTGTTACAATCCTGCGATCTTTACAGGACCAACATTAGGCATATTCACTCACTGTGTAAAGATGCCAAATGCGATTAAAAATTATGTACTGAGCTAATGCACTTCTATGTAGCGATGCTAATTGGCACATCAAAAGGGTGGCAGTTGGCACTCATGTCCAGGAGCCCAGTAATGCTTCCCTATTGTGAAGTATTGAATTTGCTCAAAATCATCTTTACTTGAAAGTTTTCTTTATTAATGCTAAAAACAATTTCCAATATAGAGCATTGTTGGGATATGTAATCCAATCCAAAAATGTTGTTTCTTATTTTCCTATAAAAACAGTAACCTTAATAATCCTGAGTACTATGCTTCTTCTTTACAACTCACAATTTATTCATTAGTATTCTTTATTTTGTTGAATCTTTTAATACACCTTGCGATAGGGTTACTAGGAGCAGGTTAATTAAGGACAGTTGGAAAGTGCACTTTTTCCCTGCTTCTAGGGTTAATACCTTAATACTGATTTAGAGTGCTGCGATTTTCTCCCTAGGCTGCTGATTACAGACACAGAGAAAGTGTGAAACTGAGCCAGAGTGGTAAGAAAAAGTTTGTGCTTTTTAATCATTATTTTCTGACTGGGAATCAGCTTAGCTGGCCAGTCCTGTTAGAAAGGCTGTTTAGTTAGTCTCCTAAAAGTAGTTTTTTGATTGCTTTTGGTTTGATGTATGTCTTAAGGTGACGCTGCTACCCCTCCCCCCAAAACAATACTTGAGAAATCTTTATGAAATACTCATTTTGACTGTTAGAATTTCACTGAAATTTCAACCCGATCAAGAGATCTAAAGAGACCAAGCAGGGGCTTTGTTTCTGTAGATTTCATGCACCTGATTTTCAGACTGGTCGGAGCTACAGAGTCAATACCTACAGCCGTCACCAATCACGGCTGCAGGGAGTTGGTTCTGTCTATGGAGTAACCTGTGAAATCCTCCATAGATCTCAATGCTGTGAGGTTGGTGCCTGCTTAAAAGGAGCAGACGAGGGCGGAGCCTGCGCCTGAACCAGAGCGGACGCAATCTACAGCAGCTCCGCTAAAATCCATTGGAAAAACCAGAAAAACCACACTTGCCGACCTAATTGAACGGGTAACTCACCCACATACACCCCGAGCACCCCTCTGGCACGACATATGCCGTTTTTCCAGGCGGCCAAGACGCCGAGGAAGAAGCGGAAAACCGGGGCCTTCGCACCAACGGGAGTACCCGGAGGGAGATCTGCAACCCAGGCCGAGCCAGTCGCTGAGATGGGACGCCTGTCCCAATAATCACTACCCCACACGCCATCAGGGGCACAGGACATTGCGACCCTGCTCCAACGGCAGCCAAAAGCTACAATGGCACCGGCCAGGACCAGCATGGCCGCGGGCACACCTGAAAGCCCCCCGCAGACAGAAACTCACACACAGCCTGAACAGCCGAGCACAAGACAAATCATACCGGCTGCACAGGGTGGATCAGCCCCGGTCACCTAAAAAGAGATTTTCAGAACCTAGTGGGGGAAATTAAAAGCCTACTAACAGCCAATGTAGCAGTCATAAAAGCAGACATGCAGAAGGTCACTGACCGAGTAAAAGTGGCAGAAGGCAATATCACAGACCTTAAACAAGGTATGATCACCATACAAGAAGCTATCCAACACATAAATTCTATGCAGCAAACACTCATTACACCAAGCCATTAAGATACGGGGCATACCAGACACAGTAACTTCAGAAGAACTTCCCCCTACATAAGACGACTGGTAGCCACCATCCTACCAACTGCCCAAGCCAGAAAAATTGCCCTAGATGGAATTTATCGCCTGCCAAAGTCCAACAGGGCCCCAGCAGCCACTGTCCAGGACACCATAGTACGCTGCACACAATCCCACGACAAAATTGCTCTCTGGTCGGCACTATGGGACAAGACGCCACTCCTCTTCGAAGGCGCAAGCCTAACGTTCTATCAAGACCACACGAGGTCCACCCTGCAGTGGCGAAAAGCTCTTCAACCCCTCACAAACCAACTGAGGACAGCCGGCATTAAATACCAATGGAGGCCCCCCAGGCTCCTGGTGGTAAACCACGAAGGGACAATTTACAAAGTAGCATGGCTTGCAGATACCCCAACACTCCTTGAGGCACTGGGCTTCTCGTCCCGTCCGACAGCCAACGACATGCGAACGAACACCCGCAACCACACATCAAGGGACTTGATCACCCTCGGGACTAAACATCTGCCTGCAGACCGTTATACGTTAGTTTATTAGTAATATTTACAGTTGCTAACTACCTGTTCAACATAACACACACAAGAGAGTCCCCTAAAGAGGGCCTAACATTCCTTGATTTACAGCTCCTGGCATCAGGGCGCTACCTGGTAGGTGCCTAGCTCCACACCTGCCAGCTCTCCCCTCCCGCCCCCCAACTCCCTTGGTCAGGGGTCCCATCACTAGAGGGCCAGTCCGCTCGATCCCAGCAAACACACCATACGCTACAATGTGATAACTCCACATCGGACGGCCCGCACCGACTCACCCCTAGCGCTACTCCTGTTTGACTACCACACCACTATTTCTAATATCATGCACACATCCATCCGTACCAGCTCTCCCATACACACTTTCACACAAATAAAAATGTGCAGAAAACCTACCGTAATGTATATTTTAACCACACAAAATGTTTGTTGTTTGACAAATTCACACTGTAGCTGTTGTGGCTCAGCGGAATACTCTGTTAATCGATACTCATGATATGCACAGTAAAAATAAAGAAAAAAAAAAAACAAAAACAAAAAGGAGCAGACAAAAGAAGATGGCGGCGCTTGTGAGGGACCAGTTCAGGTAAATAAATCTCATCTTTACCTGCCTGCCACCAGACCCCCAGCAGCGATGTCAGCAACGGAGGTCTTTGCGAATTTAGCAAAATCACCAGTCGGTGACCATGCCGCTTTAAAGGGAGAGACTACCCTGGATGTTAAAAACGGTTGGGTTTGTAAATAAACATCCTGAAAAAGCAGTGCAGTGGCCTTATCACAACCTGTTCAATAAATGATGAATAATATAAAATATTTTTTTAATACAAACAATTATTTTAAATATATTAAACAGAATGTGTAAGAAATAAAAGGAGCTACCTATGAATCAGAAATTGTTGAGGTCCAGGTCTACAAGCTGACCTTCACATAGTAGTAAAGCATCTGAGCACGGACGTGGCGGTTTATAAGAAGTGCATACTAAAAACGAGCCCGAAACATTTCTAAAAACCTATATAAACCTTTCAAAGGTAAAATATCACAACACTTGATACAAGAAGGCACTACATCTCGTTGTAGTGGTTATGATGCCCAGACTGCTCCGGCATCCCTCTTGTAAGGACTAATTGTTTTTTTTTTTTTAATGGTTTGACTTATTACATGGGGTCCACTGGTCGGCGTTCCCTGCTTTCACTACTAATGCCACAGAGACATACGTTCCTAAGCAGCAACTTAAGTTCGCTTTCTTGCAATGCAGGGCTTGGTTCCTTGGCTGAGAATGATCAGATTTGACTCCTTAGAATGGGGTGGGAGTAACAGAGCACTTATGACACCGTAACCACTATAGTGAGCTGTAGTGGTTATGGTGCTTAGATGTATTCCATTAATGATAGAAAGAGGCAGTGTTTAAACCAGTGACTGACATGAAGCCAAGATGGAGCAGTCAATTCCACAACAGTGGTAAAAACAGATGTCGATTTCAACATTTAAATTTTAATGTTCACACCTTACAAACACATTTGTTAAATTAAAAAGTTTAAGTAACCATAATGTTAAAAATCCTGGCAAGTGACATTTCCATTTTAAACCCTTTTAAGTATGCAAACTGTACACCCCAAAACCTAGTTTAAATATTGTTGTGTGCATGATTAAAACATGTTAAGGAACCAAGTAAATACCAGTAATAATAATAATTCATCAGAGATTGTACCCTGAAACCAAAGAGCAGAAATTGACATGTTTAGATGATTTATTAACCAAGACCCCAATCCATGGATAGAAGTAAACATCTTTTACATGCAATGCCACTACAAACCTCCGTCTACATGAGATACATACAGGGAGCAGAGAAAAGACATTTTGTCAAAGCATTTTTTTTTTTTTTTTACATATAGCATGGTAACCGTTACACAAAAAAATGAAGCAACTTCAGAAATGAACTGTAATGATGATCTAAGTACAACAGGCTATCAAGTGTAAGATGACAGTGAACCTTTCATGTTTTGAGAGGCACCACGAACCTGGAAGTATTAAATGATCATGCACACACTTAATGTATATAGAATCAAAGCAAATTTTAAAAAATAAAGATCCATAAAAGCCTCTTTTTTCATTCTATCCGTTTTTTTTGTTTACACACAAAATAATGCTAATTCACTTCCAAATATTTTTCTTGAGAAAGTCTTTGCTACAGCAGTAGTTTGAGAAATCCTAAATCTGGCAGAGGCATCAGCCATGAGATTGTGAACATGAAAGATACGGATGGAAAATCAGATGCCAGGATTTTAGTCCTGTTGATCCTTATGAATAGGCAAAATGCTCTGGCTATTGGAGTTATATTGCCCTGTTTGAAAACTATGGCTTCTTGAGTATAAGGGACTCACTAAACATATTTCAAGGATGCTAAGCACTAATCAGTGAAAGTCATATATGGAGATTAATGGACATATCTTCTGTCCCAAATTGTAATATCTAACTTTCTTATATAACAGATATGCTCTGTAAAGAGTAAAATATCCACTTTCCTCTGTTTTTATTTTTTAACTGGATATTAATGTACCTGCTCATCAAAGGCACAGGTGCTCTCTACATTGTAATATTAGTATTTAGTTCAGCGGTGCAACCAAAAGTATTTGATATTATCGACTGTATAATCTCATCTTCCGTATGGACTATACTACATTCTTTCTTCGTGATCAAAATTCTGAAATTATCATTATCCTACATTAAAACACACAAAAGATTGCTTACTTTGAAGAGCTGCCTAATAAACACATCAATCCTATCAACCGCAAAAAACAATGTAGAAACGGATGTGCATTTTGTTTTAGGTGACAGTCCTTTCCAATACGTTTAAATTGAGTGCCTTTAATTCATACACTGCAAAAACACAGTTGATTTGCATGCACAGGTGTGAAAAAACTCCAAATGATTTTCTTGTATGTAGAGTTTGTTATGTGGTGCAGTAAAGCAACAGGAATAAGGGGTGCATGCTTTATTAATATGTCAAACATGGACAATGCAACCACAATGTCCCAGTTGTGGAAAGTATTCTGATACAATACATAGTAGAATAATAATGTGATAGCTCATATTTTTTAATAAATAGGTAAAGGTACATTTTCCTGCTCTGTGTACTGAATTCCAGTTTACCTCAGACAGTGAACGTTGTGTAACCTAACAATGTCTGGCTTCTCACGTTATTTGTTCTAGAGCATTGTGAGTTATTTGCAGAAAATAAGTGGCATAGTCAAAGCTATAAATAATTAAATTTTCAATAGTGTTACTATAAAAGGGTCAGGGTTTCTAAACATTTGACCACCTTAACCTCTTAAGGACCATTTTCTTATCAATTGCAGTGTGGCACATATATATTTCTAAATTGGATACTTTGAGACCATATTATTCTGACCCAAGACCATTATTGATCCTTAATGGGTTAATGCAGAGCTGACAGAGCAAATATATTTCCGTAAGAGATCAGGATAACATATTTCATAATAAATTATAAAATATGTAATATTTTAAAGATCTGCTTTCATAATTTTGCTTTAAGAAAAACAAAAAATTCTAATTTGAATTTCATTGTGTCCACCTTTTCAATATCACAAATTAAGTGGCAATTATTAGTTACTATATCTCCATCTTGTTAAAGGGACTAAGTATTTGGTTATACCCATTGTATAACCACTGTAAATCAGAAAAGGTCAAAATAAAAGTATGAAAAAAAGAAACCTTGATTGCAAGTTTACAATTTAAAATGATTGGGAAAGGTAAAAAGAACAAAATGGAAGTGAGTCACACATAATATATTTTTACAGAGCCTACAAAAGTGTTGATTATAAACTTCTACGCATTATGGATCAGCGCAGGTTCCTAAATAAAATCCCACATCTTAAACAAATTGTGTTCCATTAGTGGAAAGATTCCTGAATATTCTCATCGATTGCAGCATTCTACTACAAATAAATGATAAAGAGCTTCCAACCAGATAGGAACACAAAGAAAGGATTTGGTTTCAATAGTGAAAATAGAACGCAACAGCAGGATGGAAAATATGATTTTAGAGTTAAGGAGTGCACTAATGGAGACCTACCATAATAAGGTGATCTTTTATCATTTCTTTGTGTAAGAATTAATTATTTGATTATTACATAGATGGGCAAAGCTATTTTTTACAATATTTTTTTTCATTTTATTTTGGGTGTAGAAATAGTAAATCTAATTAAAGAACCATTTTGGAATGTTTAAACTTTATCTTATCAAGTATAACATAATTAATTAAAATAGCACACCCTTTCCTACCAAGTTGGTATTGGATGCTCCAAAAATGGGATAAGCTAACACATTAATCCCACATTTAGTCTTAAGCAGGTCTTTTTAAATGAACTACTAGTTTTGTAAAATTGCTAGTTCGTTATATACAGCGGACTCCAGCCTTTCAGGATCAGTGATTATTTCATTTGCATCATGCACGGTTTAAATACAGTGACTACACACAGGCATTTTGTCCACTTTCCTGTATCATTCTAAAATGTAGGGATCCTCTGAAATAGCTTGGCTACCCAATTTTGGGTCCTGACTCAGTAGTTAAGCATCACTGTTCTAGAAGAAGGATGGTGGCAAGAGTATATGAGTTTACATTTTGCGTTATTGAAGACACTGCACCTATAAATTGTAGATTAATATTTATAAATATGGGGAACCGTGATTGTGTAGCACAAATGTTGTGTGTTTGGTCAGCCTGCTAAACTACAGATCATATTTAACGGTTTAGAACGGATTTAAATCAAATTATGTTCTGGGATATTTATATTTTTCTTTAACCATTTGTTACAAAGTCAAAATTAAGCAATAGAAGAGTACTTATCCACACAAAATCCCCACATCCTGTTTCATAGTAAATGCAGGAATAGATGTTGGAAACTCCTGCGCCTACCTGCACCTTACCCAGCATCCCCATGTGATCTGTCCCAGAATGCTTTATTTTGGGATAGACCAGAGCGGATGTAAGGAGAGGTGCATTCATGTACATATGCTTTGTGTCGGTATCTGTGGGAGTGCTGAAAAGAGATGTCTATTAAATAATTATCTAATCATTTTCCTTTAACTATACGGTGTGGTGGAAGGAAAAAACACAATGGTTTAGTTTCTAGTTAACATATACCGCTGTTCATGATCTGTATTCACTAGAGGAGTCCCTACATTTCTTTGATTTATCCTTCCTTTGTTTCATCCTAAATATTCAGCGTGCTACATTCATTTTAGGGAGTGCTCCTCCAATTCTAACACCATTGTCTGCAACAAAGCTAAATTCTAGAATCAACAATAGTGAAAAGCAAGAGATTGCTCACAGAACCCCCTTCCGTTAACAGGCCTGTTGCTCAGTATTCTTTCCTTCTTTTTAAATATTTTACTAGAGCTCACGGTGGAGTATTTTCTGTGTTTGTTATATTTTTAGAATGCGTTTATTATTGTTTTGGATTTGTTTGATGTTTTTTTCCCCCCATCTGTAGGGAACATCCTAGTTTTTTGTTTTTTTTACTGCTGGCTAACACCCATCTGTTGGTGATCTGCTTCAGGCTCTTCCTCCTCCACATCTGCACTGTATTCTTCGAAAGTGTCATCATCCACATCTGGGAGCCCAAGCAGCTGTGTACAATAAAAAGGAGATGGTTAAAGGAATGTATGGAATGAGTTCTGAAAAACACTCTTATAGGTTTACTTTCCAAGTAAAATTATCGATGAAGCAGAAAAGCAACTAATATTCAATTTATGTATTTTATAAATCATTTAGAAGACATCAAAAATATTCGAGAAAGTGGTGAAATGTGTACATTTTTTATTGCCCCTGAAAACCAGTGTTTTACAGTAAAGACAATGCTTCTTGGAGCAGCAAAATGCATAAGAGGCAGCACGTAAAACCAGATATTAAGGACACTTTAACCCCTTAAGGACCAAACTTCTGAAATAAAAGGGAATCATGACATGTCACACATGTCATGTGTCCTTAAAGGGTTAAAGGAAAAGTCAAAGTTTCTGATTATTTCAAATACAGTAATTTCAGACTTGATTCAGTTCGGACTTGAGAAATATGGCCTCATAAGTTGTAAAGGTTTCAAAGTAGTATATTCGAACAAAAAAATATGGTTTGATTAGTTTCCCTCTATCAATGGGGCTGTAAGAATCTGCGTGATTTACATAAAACACCATCATCTTTAATGCTTTAAAGGGACATTCTAAGCACCATCACAAAGAGCATTGTAGTGGTTTTGGTGCTCGCAGGCTACTTGAGCTGTACGCTAGTTCTGTGTCAGGGAAATAAGATGTAAAACGTTGGGAGTTCTAGATCATCTTGCTAAGATTTTATAAGCCATTTCCTGATGTTTACATTGAACTTGTGAGTCAGGTACATATAAAATAGCCAGTTAATGTTCCTGAGGAGATGTAAAATATAGCATTGTGTGTTCAGAGGTCAGTAGAGAAGAAAAAAAAGGCATTGGGAAGTCAGAGTCCAAAAAGAAAATGTGGGTTATATTGGCAAGTAAATGTTTTAGGCAGAAACGCCACATCAGGCCATGCCAGGGAAAGGGAGAAAACTAAAGTTGGTTAGACCCTTACTAGCAGGGTGCATGGTAACTGAAGATATTCATACTTATTGGATAGACCAGATTAATAAACAGAGGAAGCTGGGAAGGACAAAAACCCTGTTAAAGGAACACTATAGGGTCAGGAATACAAACAGACGTGCTTAGTGTTAAAACCACCATGTAGCTCCCCTGCTCTCTCCCCATTCCCCCCTCCCCCCTTTAGTCCCCTAAATATAGTAAAATCTCACTTTTGTTGAAGTCTGCAGCAGCCTGCTTGGCTGACATAATCATAAGTGATTCCCTGAGCCAATCACAATGCTTTCCCATAGGATTGGCTGAACCTGTCAAGGAGGCAGATCACAGGCAGAGCTAGAACAAGGAAAACAGAGCCCTGGTCAATCAGCAGCTCATAATAGAGATGCCTTGAATCAGTGCCTATCTATGAGGAAAGTTCAGTGTCTCCATGCAGAGGGTGGAGACCCTGAATGGCAGTGCTGCACTGTCCCAGGAAGCACCTCTAGTAGCCATATGAGGAGTGGCCAGTGGAGATATCCCTAGGCTGTAATGTAAACACTGCATTTTCTCTGAAAAGACAGTGTTTACTGAAAAAATCCTTAATGAAATGATTAGACTCACAAGAACAAATACGATAAGCTGTAGTTGTTCTGGTGACTATAGTGTCCCTTTAAATAAAATAGTTTAACTTATTTACGTCCCCTGTGCATCATTTGCGCCAGACTGCCGCTCCTCCCCAGCTGAAATCATCATCATCATTACGGATGATCTAAGCCAATCCAATGCTTCACAACATGGAGGGGGGATTAGTTAGTACATGCATGGCAATTGTTGTGCTGCACCAATCAGCATCTGGTAATAAAAAATACACTGGAGTAATTGCATCTCAATAGGGAATGATCAACATCTTCATACAGTTAGTCCTGCAAAGATTAAACTCAATGTAACACAACAAGCCTACCCCTAAGCTCCCAAAACCCACTCAGAGAAAAAGCATTAACTCTGAGAAATTAACGTTTACCTCTTGATCACTGTAATAAACAGTGATGAAGCAGATCAGACAGCAGTACTGATCAGTGGCATACCTAACGCTGTCATAGCTGCAACGGTGCCAGTCACTCCAGGGGGCCCGCCTGGCTGTCCGCCTGCAATGTGGTGCAGGCACTATATGTCTGCATGTGTATCTGTATGAGTGCCATTCTGTGTACCTGAATGTTTGTAATTAAAATGGGACACTATAGTCACCAGAACAACTACAGCTTATTGAATTTGTTCTGGTGAGTAGAATCATTACCATCAGGCTTTTTGCTGTAAACACGGTCTTTTAAGAGAAAATGCAGTGTTTACATTACAGCCTAGTGTCAACTCCACTGGCAACCCCTCAATTGGCTGCTAAAGCTGCTTCCTTGAGAAGTGCTGTAGAGTAAGCAGAACTGCCATTCAGTGTCTCCACCCTCTGCATGCAGACACTGAACTTTCCTCATAGAGATACATGGATTCAATTCATCGATATGAGGAGATGCTGATTGGCCAGAGCGGTGTTTGACTTGTGCTGGCACTGTCCTGAACTGCCTCCTTCTGAGGATGTCAGCACACAAGAGGCAGTCCAGGGGGAGAGGCAGCAGCTTCAGACTTGAATACAAGTAAGATTTCAGGGAGGCAAGGGGGATGGGGGCTAAATGGTTTGTAGTCCGAGGTATAAATAAAAGCAGTTTACAAAATGTTAATATTAAAAAATAAAAAATTGATAAAGACTATAGTCCCCCCACAAGAAAATGCTACTGATGTATGTGTTAGATAGGTAGATATATATCTAATACATTTGAGTTGTTACAAATAGAGGCTTGCTAAACTACCCCAAATGAGAAACTGAAAAAGATTTTTGTTCTAAAAAATGTTAGGCTTAACCGATGGGCAAACTACCGAGGACTCTCTGAGATTTTGCCTGTTCTCAGAGTGCTTATATTCTTTGTTTTTGTTGCAATGCATTTACGTAAGTTAATACAGACGTGGACTTCGTGCTTACTGTGCCTACAGGGGTATCAGCTACACGTTGCTGACTAGGCCCAAAAAAGTCCGAAACGGTTATTTGGGTTTGCTATATCTCTTGTGCAGAGGGAACTTGACAGCATTTCTGATCTGGACTGGGCATGATCAGTCTGATATGCAAATTAGATAGGTTCTCTTTCTCATGGCACAAGTGAGTAAAAACAGTAAATACCTGAGTGACTGCTTGGTTTCTCAGAGTTCTCATATTTGTTTTTGTTACAATCACCAATAAAACCTGTGGGACCAGCAGACATATTCCACTGGTGACTCCTTACCTTTTACATGTTTTCACTACTTTTCTGAACATGGGTCATGGGTCTAGCACAGCAATTTGTCAAAATTGCAAGCTTAATCATTTAAGTGGGTATGTTCCTAATTTTGGCACTGTAACTTCTAAAACATATGGCAAATCCATGCATGTGTGGAATAGTGATATTCTTCAAATGTAGCGGAATACGATTTTTCTTTTCACTGCAGTAGCACACATCAGGTTTAACAATTCCACAGCAACAATGCAATGTGGGTGGGTGTGTGTGTGAAAAGGTAGCTACAAATTTCACTGGAGACTGTTGATAATGTCTGCATGGAAGTTAAATGCTTCCTTTATTTGGAAGCATTTATAGACAATGCCCTTTTCCCTACTGCCATCACTAGTTACAGCTGGGGAAATGATAAGACTTGACTGCCTTTTGTCAAGCTTAGGGAATATACGGGAGTATATCTTTTGACTGTGTGAAATTTCAGTGAAATTCCAACACAATCAAAGTGAGCATTTCATAAAGATTTTATCTTTACGAAATCTTCTTATTGGATGGGGAGAGGGAGAGTTGACAGAGCCACTTTAAAAAACAAACAAAAAAAACCTGCAATATATTAAATGCATGGAGGCAATGAATGAGGGAGTATGAAATTTCATTTTATAAACACATGGCAATTTCTGACCATGCCCTGGTCACTATAACTCTTCAAACTCCTAACCTACAGTAGTACACTCCACATTTGAGATCCACATTTGAGATTTCCTTCCTACTTAGTGAACAATCTCTCCTTCCAAAACCAACCTCCTGGCGTTCCTCAACACAAAATGTCTTGTAGATGATTTTGCTGCTCTTAAAGCACCAGCTAAATGAGACCACCAAACTCAACATTTCTTTTGCTTGGGTGGGGGGGGAGTCCAGTAGACCTTTGGCTTGCATGGCCAATTCATGCCGAAATAAACCAATTTTTCTATCACCATTTCAAATGCTTACCTCAATCTTTAATCCTATGTTTCCCAAACATTACAAGATTTTACTGACATGGACTAGAATAATTCATTTGATCATCTCCCCATCACATCCAACACTATCTATATAACATCTACAATATACTCTAAGTTAAGATATACAGCTGACCGAGAAAGGTTAAAACTGATCTCTCCCTATGGCTTATCACTTTTCTGATACTTACAAACGATGACATTCTAAGAGCACATACATTTTTAATAAAGCAATCAGCAATGGTATCCTACCGGGAAATGAGTATTAAAAAGGCTTCATTATGTGTATTACACTTCGGTTAGATTGTATGCCATGAGTAGAAAACCTACCACAAAATATTTTAAATGTCCAGCTGACACTGCAGACGTGTATCATTGCTTTTGGGGATGTCCTGATATTAAAAATATTCTGGAAGGAGGTCCACCATTATATGTTTACTAATTCCCCTCAACTCTGAATTCTTGATGTTAGGTGCTGTTCCCAGCCACCGCTATCCTACAAAAATAAATCTGTCTCCCTCCTTACCACTCTTTTGGACCATATTAGATAATTTATTCAGTATGGATTTGCCCCATACTTTGAATAATAAAGAACTTACGGATAAACACTTTGTCCAAATTTGGAAGGATTATTTGACATTGAATTCCTCTTTAGCAGAGTAGGACCTGCCAAAGATGGGGTACATTGGCGTTGTGGCAGGCTTATGCAATGTATGATCATATACTGTAACTAAACCCCCATTATATTTTTTTGCCTAGGTTAGGTGTTTTTAATAAAACTGAAAGTTGTTCAGCACCAAAATGACTGTTTAGTAGATAAGCGAGTGCGCTGGATTTTCATTTTTATTGAATTCCTCTTTCCAATGAACAATACATACGTTCGAGCACAGCTTGGTGGGACACAGTTACCATTATCAATGTAACAGACTGCTTCGCTATTCCCTGTATTTTTGGTATTAACACTCCTTCCTCTTCCAGGATTTATGGGAGTATAGAGACATGCAGATATTATTCTGTTTAATAGTTAGTATAATATTTTTAAGATGGGATTTCTACACTTCACTCCCTCTGGCAGTAGAGGAAGGATGATCAACCTATAGTTCCTACTCTACCATTATCCCGTTGCCGCCCAATCTCCCCTCCCCATATATTTCCCTTCTTTCCCATTGATAGATATATACACTGCTCAAAAAAAAATTAAGGGAACACTTAAACAGCACAATGTAACTCCAAGTCAATCCCACTTCTGTGAAATCAAACTGTCCACTTAGGAAGCAACACTGAGTGACAATCAATTTCACGTGCTGTTGTGCAAATGGGATAGAAAACAGGTGGAAATTATAGGCAATTAGCAAGACACCCCCAATAAAGAAGTGGTTCTGCAGGTGGTGACCACAGACCACTTCTCAGTTCCTATTCATCCTGGCTGATGTTTTGGTCACTTTTGAATGCTGGCGGTGCTTTCTCTAGTGGTAGCATGAGACAGAGTCTACAACCAACACAAGTGGCTCAGGTAGTGCAGCTCATCCAGGATGGCACATCAATGCGAGCTGTGGCAAGAAGGTTTGCTGTGTCTGTCAGCGTTGGGTCCAGAGCATGTAGGCGCTACCAGGAGACAGGCCAGTACATCAGGAGACATGGAGGAGGCCGTAGGAGGGCAGCAACCCAGCAGCAGGACCGCTACCTCAGTCTTTGTGCAAGGAGGAACACTGCCAGAGCCCTGCAAAATGACCTCCAGCAGGCCACAAATGTGCATGTGTCTGCTCAAACAGTCAGAAACAGACTCCATGAGGGTGGTATGAGGGCCCGACGTCCACAGGTGGGGGCTGTGCTTACAGCCCAACACCGTGCAGGACATTTGGCATTTGCCACAGAACACCAAGATTGGCAAATTCGCCACTGGCGCCATGTGCTCTTCACAGATAAAAACAGGTTCACACTGAGCACATGTGATAGACGTGACAGAGTCTGGAGACGCCGTGGAGAACGTTCTGCTGCCTGCAACATCCTCCAGCATGACCGGTTTGGTAGTGAGTCAGCACCGAGATGAGATCCTCAGACCCCTTGTGAGACCATATGCTGGTGCGGTTGGCCCTGGGTTCCTTCTAATGCAAGACAATGCTAGACCTCATGTGGCTGGAGTGTGTCAGCAGTTCCTGCAAGACGTAGTATTGATGCTATGGACTGGCCCGCCCGTTCCCCAGACCTGAATCCAATTGAGCACATCTGGGACATCATGTCTTGCTCCTTCCACCACAGACTGTCCAGGAGTTGGCAGATGCTTTAGTCCAAGTCTGGGAGGAGATCCCTCAGGAGACCATCCGCCACCTCATCAGGAGCATGCATAGGTGTTGTAGGGAGGTCATACAGGCACGTGGAGGACACACACACACACACACACACACACCTGAGCCTCATTTTGACTTGTTTTAAGGACATTACATCAAAGTTAGATCAGCCTGTATTGTGTTTTTCCACTTTAATTTTGAGTGTGACTCCAAATCCAGACCTCCATGGGTTGAAAAATTAGATTTCCATTTTTTAATTTTTGTGTGATTTTGTTGTCAGCACATTCAACTATGTAAAGAACAAAGTATTTCAGAAGAATATTTAATTAATTCAGATCTAGGATGTGTTATTTTTGTGTTCCCTTTATTTTTTGAGATATAGAGATTATATATATATATATATATATATATATATATATATATATATATAAAATTATATATGAATGTTTGACATCAGAAAGCATTTTACGGTCTTTGCAACAGTATCATTGTTATTGTTGAAATTGTGTAATAGAAATTGTTGAAATAGCTTTTAACAATGTTACTATAATCACTGATATGCGTATATTTAAGGAATTTACTTTTTTTTTTTTTTTAAATGTTTGTTTTTTACTGCGTCTATATACACAATACATATTGGAAAAAAAGTTAATAAGTAGGTTTCTAAATGTAATTTGCGTTTTATATCTGATATATTAGGAATAGAAAAGTGGGGATCCCCAAAAAACATTGTGAGAAATGCTCATCCTTTGCATGATATTCTCTTTGTTAACGATAATTAAGACATAGATGAGAGAGAGAGAGAGAGACACACACACACACACTTACAGGCCTGAAAGACTTGAAGACTTTTTCCAGTATTTCATGAAGGGTCTTCTTCCCACACGAAGATATGTAGTCCTGGGCTAGCTGCAGGAAAGGTAAGCAGTCCTCACTTTCACTCCACACATGCTGTAAGTAAAGACAGCACAAAACATGTCAGGATTAGATGTATGCTTGTGTTTTGGTTTAGCATTTCTATACTTCGACAGTGTGTAGGCGAAACTATAATGTGTGAAAATGACAGCTGTGATCTAACAAGTGTCAATTCATAGTAATGGCTTCAGGAATCACAAACTTCTTAGAGGTGTTTCTAGAATGTGCCTCAAGCATAAAGTATATTTTTAAATGGGACACTCCAGGCTGCAGCTGAGCCCAAATACGTTAATGCATTAGCTAGAAAATGCCAGAACCTGCCTTAAGTACCCCCATTGGTCCATAGTACCCTGTCACAAGGAATGGCCTGTTTCCACCATAATTGTTTTTTCCGTCAGTGTGGAACCCTCTAAGATTGAAGCGCCTGCTTTTCTGTGCTAGCTGCCCAGTACTTCCCCTGCCTTTTAACTAGGATGGGAACACATGCCAATAGCTCAATAACTGCATGAAGTCCAGCACACAGGGATACCAGTGCCTTCAACCACCAGTCTTCCTGAATTTCACAAGTCTTATAACCGGGTGCTGAGCAGTCAGCTGTCAACATTCTGCTCAGCGCCCAGAGAGGTCAACGTGGCTAGTGGTTTTACATTTACAGGCAGCTGGTGCCAAGAAATCAAGTCATACCCAGGCATATGCTGCCTGTTTAATGTGGAGCAAACAAAGTAGGCTGTGCTATCAAGTGCACATCGCTCCCACTCAATTTTCACTAGGTCAGCAGACCTCTGCCCAACTCCCTTTTCACCATTAACAATCTAAGTTTGCATGTATGAACACATTGAAGTGAGTGCATCACTATATCACTATTTCGATGCAATTGTCTTTGTGAATATCTATCAATGTATAGGTTTGGGTGTTGTTAGTTATGCATGTATGTATTTGTGTACATAAATGGTTAACGGAACACTATAGTCACCAAAACAACTTTAGCTTAATGAAGCAGTTTTTGTGTATAGATCATGCCTCTCAAATCTCACTGCTCAATTCTCTGCCATTTAGAAGTTAAATCACTTTTGATTGTGTCCATCTAGCCCTAGATACATCTCCTCTGTCTGTGACTCACACAGACGCATGAAAAATAAAAATTGTTTAATTTTCCATCAGATGTTAACTTGTTTTAGACATTTATTTCTCCTAAATTGAACTTTAATTACACACAGGAGGCTCTTGTAAGGCCTAACAAGCTATGAACAGAGCAGGAGATACATTCTAGATTTAAAAGACTGAAAGGAAAAATAAACATTAGATCTGACTTTACAGGACGTGTCTAGGACAGCTGTGTAAGTCACATGCAGGGAGGTGACTAGGGCTGCATAAACAAAATGATTAAACTCCTAAATGACAGAGTATTGAGCTGTGGGATTGCAGGAACATGATTTATAAAAGTTGTTTTGGTGACTACACTGTCCCTTTAAATATGTTTGTGCAAGACATTTGAATAGATGCGTGTCATGGACCAAATATGTATTTGTGTATGAATACATATAAATGTGTGTTTAAGTTGCTAGTTATGTATGTGCTTTTGAGAATGTCTAATAAATGTGCCAACTCGTTTATTTGTGTGCATAGATAAACAGATTTATTCAAGTGCCACTGTGTGCACGTGGCTTCAGGTTTTGGTGGGTGGTCTGGGGATGGATCGTTTGTTAGTGGACTCAGGCAACAACTGCTTCCTGCAGTAAAACTGACAAACCTGGAAGGAGCTTTAGCATTGTTTTTAGTGGAAGCTGTGTTTATCTAATACACCTCTGCCCAGCAAAGACTTAAAGGATTCAGCACTCAGCATCAGTCCCATTCCAAGGATGAAACCGTTGCCTAAGCTGATATCATTTGACTGACAGCACCTTTCTATGTTGCAGCTGTATGGCCAATGTTCTCTTATGGCAAATTGTGAAGGAGTTTCAAATTAGGAAATGATATGAATAGCATGCACTTGGCTTGATACAGCATGTCATACAAGAACTTTGACAGCCTGGGGGAAGAATCCCTGTGATCCATAACCTATGCAAACCCATAGGTTATTATGTTTTAGTGTCCCTTTCCAAAACCAGCTATGCGTGATATAGGATTAGAGATCATAAACAAAATTAAAGATCTTCTGACTAATTCAGAATTCAAGTGCGGTTTACCAATTTCTTTTCTTGTTTTTTGCGATCATGTATTTTAATAATAATACATTGGGGCAAACTTATTTATAGCTATAGGACTGTCATTACTTCTGCCTACATGTGCACTAAATACAAAGAATACCCCGCTGTTGACACATAATTATGGCTGGCTAATTACACTAACCGTAGAATGACATTTGCTTTTTTTATTACAGTCTTTATCTAGAATGTATTGTGAACAAAGATATTCATCTCTGCATCAGAACAGATAATAAGCTTTTATTATAAGCCATAATAATAAAACAAAATGTGTAAGGCCATCGTTTTCAGGGAAAGAATCAGATCTGATACTGCAGCAACTTCTGTTTGCATCAGGCAACCACAACACACAGCTGCCAGTATGCAGGTTTTGTGTTTCCAGACAGATTCGCTGTGCCCGGTTAGATCAGAAATAGGTCATGGACAGAGCCTGACTAACACTCACTGACAATGGACCTTTCCAGAAAACCACCACAATGGCAATGTTTAAACATTCACAAATAGGGCTGTTAGGTATATGACATTTTTGTGCACACATTTGATTTTATATATTTGCCAACAAGTTGGTGATTTCAATGTACACGTAGACGATCAATTAAAAAATAATATGAGAAACAGATTCTTTTTTTTTTTTAAATCAACAAATAACCACTCTCAGCAATAAGAAAGTGCCTGAAAATATTTCAGCCAACCAGAAGTCTTCCATACAAATGTACTAGAGTAGCACAAAGCATTCGCATGTATGAAAGCAATCAATTTTAATACTTTCCTCTTAAAAGCACTGAAAGCAAATACAGTAAGTCCCCAAGTGCTTGCATTTACTTTAATGTGAGCACATGTGTGCCACTTCTCATGATAGCATTAGGAAATTTCTACATTTATATTGTTCATGAAGGCTGCTAAAAAGCTGAAAAACTGACATTAAAGGAACACTATAGGGTCAGGAACACAAACATGTATGCCTGACCCGTTTGTATTAAAAAACACATGTAGGATCCCTGCCACCCCTTAAATAAAAATAAATCTTATTATATTTCCAGTGCTGCGTGGGTTTGTCGGTTCTGACTCTGCCCCTGTCCCGCCTCCTTGGCTGATAATCAGAATTGACAATCTCAGCCAAGTAGGCAGGGCGGGGCCAAACACCACCAAGCCAATCAGCATCTCCTCATAGAGATGCATTGAACCAATGCATCTCTATGAGGAAAGCTCAGCGTCAGTGTTAAACATTGTGCATCACCAAATAGACAAAGGGCATCACATAATCACAAGACATCTACTTATTTTTCTAAAAAATACCACAGATCACCAGACTATCAAAATTTTCCCCAATACACAACTACCAATAGATCCAGCTACACTCAACCCTTAACACCCAGACCACAGAGATCTAGGTTTGGCCACAAACACTCAGATCTCCCCAAGTCACCACCCAATTTTACTCACAACAATAGATATCAATTATTATCTATTGATTCAGAGATTGAAGAGAATTTTTTAGACATCCGCACACAGAACCTACCTCATACACAAACCCCATATTTACCCAGAACAAGGAAAATAAGTTTAAGTTTAGAGGAAGGAGAGGAGGTAGAAGATTACAAAAGAGAAAGGAAGGAGAGACCACAATAAATATAGATGAGAAAAAATTAGGTATTTTTAATATTTCACATAAAGTCTTAACATCTACCCAGATTCTAGTTTTAAGCAAAGGTCTTAAATATGCTCCTACAAATCCGTTTAAACCTTTCCAAGCATTTTTGGATATTAATAAGTTTATGAGAAAGGCAACAATAAAAAGATTCTTTGCCCAAAATAGCAATACCCCAACAGAATCAAGCTCAATACTACAAATCCCTGATTCTGACACAACCACCGAACGTCTTATTACTCACACTCCTTTAAAAAATCCCTCTAGATTTTATCCTTCCAATTTCAAATCAGGCTCCATAGAAGTCTTTGAAAAATTAGTCCTCAAAGATTTTGAAAAAATGAAACACATACTAAATATGACCATCAAAACCTCACACAGAAGGAATGGAAAGCTCTAAAGGAAATCCAAAAAGATGATGAAATCATTATTAAACCCGCCGATAAAGGTGGGGGTTTAGTCATTCAGTCCCAATCTATGTATAGAAATGAAGCTAATCGCCAACTTAATGACCCTGAGGTATATGATAAATTATTGTATGACCCCACTTCTAAGGTCAAAGAAATTTTAAGTGTATTTTTAAGAAAAGGATTAGATATGGGAATTTTAAATAAATACGAATTTGACTACCTCACCATCCCCTATCCTAAAATCCCAGTGATCTATTTTCTCCCGAAAATCCATAAGAATGCAGAAAACCCTCCAGGGAGACCAATTGTATCGGGTATTAATTCTGTCCTATCTAATCTTTCCGAGTATATTGATATTTTATTACAACCTTTGGTCAAACAAACCAGATCATATTTGAAAGACTCTATGACTCTTTTATCTTTTTAAAGTGATTTTAACTGGCACCATGATTATATATTGGTAACATGCGATGTGCAATCATTGTACACCATAATTCCTCACGATATTGGTTGCCAATCAGTAGAAAGGATTTTAAAACAAAACAGTTCTATCCCAGATTCCCAAATAGATTTCATTATACAAGGTATAGAAATTATCCTTACCAACAATTATTTTTGGTTTTTAGATTCATTTTATATTCAAAAGAAAGGTACAGCTATGGGAACTAGGTTTGCCCCTAGCTATGCAAACCTCTTCATGGCCGATTGGGAAACAACGGCGGTCTGGGGGGAACATAGCTGGCGGGCAAACCTGGTTTCCTATTTTCGCTATATAGATGACCTATTTTTTATCTGGCAAGGCTCGGAAACTTCACTTAAGCTGTTCCTAGACTTTTTAAATGTCAATGATAGAGGTATAGTTTTATCTTCAGATTTTAGCAACACGTCAGTCAATTTTTTAGATTTAAATATTTTTATTCAAGATGGACGTATTCAAACTAAGACTTTCTTTAAAGAAGTTTGCACTAATACGATTATCGACCAAACCAGTTGTCATCATAGACCGTGGTTGGATGGCATTCCAAAAAGTCAATTTCTCCATCTCCACCGAAACTGTTCCCTAACAACTGATTTTAACACTCAATCTACCTCATTGAAAAATATGTTTTTAGACAAAAATTATGAGGCAGATAAGTTAAATACAGCCTTAGAAACAGTCAAAACGAAAGAAAGAAAGGAGCTTCCCGTATATAAAGCAAAAAAAGAAGACCCCCCCAACTACCCATTATCTTGGATTTTAACAATAAAAATAAAACCTTAAAGAAAATTTTAAATAAACATTGGCATATTCTTAAACAAGATGACCTTTTAAAAGACCACATCCCAGAGAGACCTAATGTCGTGTTTAGAGGGGCCCCTAATTTCAGAACCATCCTCACAAAAAACTATACAAGAGAAAATGTACAACAAAACAAAACTTTTCTATCTAGACCCAAAGGTTGTTTTAAGTGTAATAAATGTATTGTGTGCAGAACCACTAAAGGAATCACAAACTCTAAAACCATCCAGTTTGCCTCTAATATTACTAAAACCTCCTACACAATTAAAGAATATATAGGCTGTAATACTAAAAATGTCATATATTTATTGGAATGCCCATGTAGACTCCAATATGTGGGCATGACTAAGAGATGCCTCAAAGTGAGATTGGCAGAACACTGCCGCAACATTAGGAGAGGTTATGAAAATCATTCAGTTTCCAAGCATTTTTTAATACATAACAAAGACCCAACACTTTTAAAAGTAACTGGTATTGAACAAGTTACTCTCCCATGGAGAGGTGGAGATATGATAAAAACTTTAGGCAAAAGGGAAATGTACTGGGTCTTTACTCTTAAGACTCTTTTTCCTGATGGTTTAAATGTTGAATTTGACCTTTTTAACTTTTTATAATATATCACACATTTTATCTTCTATTTATTTTCCTTTACTTCCCTTTTTTTTTTTTTTTTTTTTTTTTTTTTTTTTTTTTTTTTTTTTTTTTTTTTTTTTTTTTTTTTTTTTTTTTTTTTTTTTTTTTTTTTTTTATCTTATATTGAGTCTAAGTACTTTAGGGATATTTGACACTATAAGGTCATTAATATATACCCAGCTATTCAGCTTTTACATTTATTTTTAGCCTTTCTTTTTTTTAATTGTTTTTCTTTCTGACTTTTCCCCCTTCTTTTTATTTACATTTTTATATTGGCTGTCATGCCACTTATTTTTGTGGCATTATAAGGCTTATTAATATCGGCATTAGGCGCCGCCCCTTTTGCTGATGTCAGACGGAGGCGTGCCTTTTGTTGCCGGCCTCCGTCTGAACATCACACACACTAGAAGTATTTGCGGTATGTACCGCCCCCACTGCTGACGTCAGACGGAGGCGTGCCGTTGGCTGCCGACCTCCGTCTGAGCGTCTACCTCTCAGTTTGATTTGTGCAGTTAACCACGTGACCGCGGAGGTCCGCGATCACGTGGCTATACCCCTTCGCCTCCCCCTATGATACTACATTTCCCATATTGCTCTAGTGCCCACCATGTGATCGCATTAATTTGCGATCACATGATTTTTTTATTTCTTTTTATTTTACCGTCTATTTTAATTTATAATACTCGTTTTTTTATTCAACAACAAGGATTATTCCATATATTGTAACAACATGCATTATTTTATATATTGTATTACAAACATCATGCATTCTGTATTTTTATGTTTTTAGGATTCTGCTTTTTACACATTGTATTGATGACGTCATTTTGGCGCCAAAATTTGAATAAGCATGTTTTATCAAAGGTTATATAAGTATCTATGTACCAGGTTGATTTTTAATATTGCCAGTTGATAAAGCCCTGTGTGGCGAAACGCGTTTTGGCTATTTTTATATACTTTTTATTGTACTAATAAAGGAATAGTGGCTTTTTTATAGCAATCTTGCCATATACCTTTTTATTTTATTTTTAAAATCTCCTGTCACCTGGTCATTCACTAACTTGGAGTCTACTCACGACCAAGAATCCTTGGTGGGGATTATACCACCTATTCGAATATATTGAGCAGTCTATCCTGCTCATTTAAATGTGAGTATTTTTATTCTTTTATTTTATCTTATTTCATTTATATTCAGTGAGCACTATATTTTGTTTTTATTTCCTTTCTACAACCGAGAAATCACCTTCACCTATATCCTACCAGTGGGGGATAAACGCCAATGAACGCCTAACACACTAGAGCGAGTCTATGCTCTAAAATAGGTGAGTGTATTACCTATCTACTATTATTATTTTTTTACAACAAACAGTCTACACTATTGGATCGTCTTTGTGGTTTATATTTTCCATGTTCACCTTCGAATCAAGACCCTTCTAAAGACTAGAAGATCCAGTCTTTCATTGGACTCTCTATCTCCAAAGACTTATTGGAACCTGAAAGAGGAATATACCAAGTACTGTTACTACTACTCACTCATTTGAACTTATCAATAGTATATACCAAAATTTGGACTATTATTCTTTTTATATATATCCTTTATATATTTATTAAATCCTTTTTATATATATTTCTCTTTATTTATGTTTTAAAGTATTAGATATATTTATCCCTTTCCATTTGTTATTTATGTAGTGCAACCTATTACTCTTGTTTTTGCCATTTCCTTTTTGAGGCCTTTAGAGGGAACCTCATAATTATAGGTTGCAGCTCTCTACTTGACCATATCACGCAGCGCTGATCCGTTCTCTACCTGTAACTGCCCCAGGAAGCACCTCCAATGCTGTCTGAGGAGTGGCCAGTGGAGTTATTCCCAGGGAGCATTAAAAATCCTGCAGGGATAGGCTATACTGACCAGGAAAACTACATTAAGCTGTAGTTGTTCTGGTGACTATAGTGTCCCTTTAACCCAATGTCAATAACAAACACCAACAGGGTTAATCACTAAAGTGAGAATAGTCAGGAATACTAAGTGAATTCAAATTTAAGGCCAAAGTAGCCAAACTAGAAGCAAAGATTTTTCTAGTTCAATTATTTTGGCCTTAAATTTGAAATACACTTTGAATTGCTGACATTTCTCACTTTAGTAAATAACCCTGAAGAACAGATACTATTTAGGTGTGCTGCTATGTATCTGTCTCCTGTGCGGCTATGTTTCTGTCTCCAATTCCCATTGTATGTTGGATGTATACAGCAGAAAGCACTAAGAAGTCAATGCAGCATGGTATTTACATGATTGACTGGTGCATAAGTCCAGCACTTCCAGCTTCTCAATGCAGTCCAGCAACATCTGTTGGGCCGGGTATGTATAAAATGTGTGTGTTAGTTGCTACTGCTAAAATGGATACCTCCCTAAAGCTAGTCTTGTCATTCACACCATTATAAATCAGTAGAAATTTCCATAAAATGTCTTGTTTTCCAACGGTTGGTTTACATGTATTAATAATTAAGTGCTTGGAACGGTTATTCAGCATATTAGGAGTCTAATCCATTATTTATCAACAATGGGAAAAACAACAAATTAAAAGGAGTAGAATAGGAGAAGGAAGTCTTGTTAGGCACTTATATAGAAAGGAAAAGTGATGGAAGTTCAAGTGCAGGTAGACCAAAGGCAGCAAACTCTGAAACTGGGGGTCCCTCCAAGTCCTAACACGAAGTGAACAAATGGTACAAACAACAGGTTGCACCAATATGGACTATATTTTTATTGTATTTTATATACTCTATAGCAGGGGTAGGCAACCTTTTAGTAGTACTGTGCCAAAACAAGATCTTTAAGTCCCTTGGTGTGCCTGTCAATCTTTTAAAAAACTGAGGTGGGTATGTTGCCGTATTATGCTTGTTGCAGTTGCTTTGTAACATTGTATTTGTGGGCTGTTGTATTGTATATGTTCAGGAGTAGTTTGTAGTATTGTGAATATATCTCTGAATGTGTCCTGTGTAGGAAGCCGTTTGTGGAATTATATGTCAGGATGATGTCACATTGTGTGTTTGGTGGTGGGTATATTTGTGGTATTGCATGTGAGAAGCTTCTTGTGGGGTTGTTTGAATCATTAGTGGTGTTCTGTTTGGTGCAACTGTGTGCGTTTGTGTGTGGGCTGTTTGTAAAATTTTAAGAGGGGGAGGCTTCTTCTGCTACTATGTGTATATCTAGCAGTAAGTGGCTTCCCTGGGGTCCAGTCGGAACAGGTTAAGGGCAGGAGCTGCGATAGCTGCTGCGGCCTGCTCTACTACAATAGAGTGGGCTCTTCACAAGTGCTGCTGGAAGAAAGTTAACTGAAGGTTGTCCCTAACCAACTGCAATCATAGCTAGAGTGGCACTAGCAAATATCTGAAGTCCAACTGGGACTCCTGGTAGGCTAGAGCCTATTTGGCTCTGGCAGCCTTGAGTGCCATAGGTTCCTGACCTCTTTTCCATAGTACCTACCTTTTGTTTCTTTTTATTTTAGTTATTTCTTTTATTAGTCTTTTTTTATATTGGCGCAACCTGTTAATACCATTAGTTCACTTATATAAATAAGTCGATAAGAATAGAAATTAAAAAAACAACAACAATATAACAATAGCATGAATAAAAAAAATAATATGAATAATGACACACATACACCCATCCCTATATTGCTCATGCTCCTCTCAAAATATTGTATCCTGCACGTACCCCCAATATACCATACCGAGGGGGTGCACAACTTTTATAGAGATATACATCCATATATATATATATATATATATATATATATACACTAAAGATTAAAAATAATAAGTGTAAGTATGCCTCCCGGGCATGTGGGGCAATTTGACAGCAGAGAAGAGTATGGGATAAAGAGGACTAGGGTTGATTATCACTGCCAGCAGTAAAAAGATGGCAGTGGATATGAAAAAGATCTGGTGGGGGAAGAAAAGATCACATAATGGGGTGCAAGAGGGATATTTAACCCATAAGGGCATACGGAGGACTAGGATAATCGGATAAATATACCATAATTGTCCCAATCCTGCATTGCTATTACAACTTTTGTTATAGAACAGTAAAACGTTCAAAAACAGAAATGAAAAGAAAATGCAGAAAATGGTTTAGAGAGAGGGAAAGGATAAAAATGTGCTTAAAACTTTTTTTAGGATTCTAAAAAAATTTTTAAAAATCTGAAGAATAGAAAAATGTGGGGAATATATATATATATATATTTTTTTTATTTATCGAGGTTTACATATGCAATTTTCACAATGATCTGCACTAGCCCTTAGCATGGACTTCTGTTGCCCACAACCACAGCCCCTCTAATGATGACCGCATTGAAAAATGACAAGTTGAACACACAAACAGCATGTGACACTGCTTTGGCCCAGACAGAGCTGGAAGATCAACATTCTATTTAGAGAATACTTACTCTCATTGCAAATACTGAATACAACTGCCTTTAATACAACTATTTTCATGTATAAAAACATTTCTCCCTTCTAACTTTATTTTCTTTTAATTTAGCGTCTACCTTTCACATTGCTTTGAACTGGCAACAATTACAGGGGTTTTAAAGCTTCTATAGAGAACAATGCTTTTATGTTGAATTGTGATTTAATGGAGCATACATCTTGTGGTTGCTATGGTGCTAAACGGCTGTGGGCGCAGTCCCCCAGTTTTGTCAGCTGTTTTCGATTGGTTTGATACACCTACCTGGGCCTGCCATATTGCCAAGTTCAATATTATATATTTTTTGCCATTAAATGGTCTTTTTAAAGATACCATTATTTTCATCATATAACTATAAAAACAAAAACAAACAACAACAAAAACAACACCTTTTCTAACTTTGACCCCCAAAATCTGTTACACATCTACAACCGCCAAAAAACACCCATGCTAAATAGTTTCAAAATTTGGCCTAAGTTTAGAAATACCCAATGGTAACATGTTCTTAGCTTTTTTTTTTGCAAGTTATAGGGCAATAAGTACAAGTAGCAATTTGCTATTTCCAAACCATTTTTTTCTTTTCTTCCAAAATTAACATAAGTTACATTGTAATACTGATATCTGTCAGGAATCCCTGAACAAAAGCAATTAGACCATGGTGTAAAGTCTCTATTAAGAGACTCTACACCAAATATAATTGATATGCTCTAAGCACAGCTAAAACACACCGTCCTGAATAGTATCACGGATAGTCAGACCCACGGTCTAATTACTTGTATGTCCTCTTCAACCTACTGTTCCTGTAAGTTTTTTCTTGTTATTGTCCTATTTATAGTTACATCCCCCCTCTCATAATATTGTAAAGCGCTACAGAATCTGTTGCCGCTATATAAATGGCAATAATAATTAATAATAATAATATATTGGTTTCCTAGCAACCGCACCTCACACAAACACACCCTAATTACATCACGTCACCGCCGTTAGTCACTTCCGGGTTCACACGGAGAGATTAAGGGAGTCAGTCACTATTGGTTAGTACTTTTATACTTAATGTATGTAAAGAATGTGTGTATATGCTTATATTGATCTTGAGAAAGACCTGAACGGGTCGAAACGTTGATCAAGCTGAATGTAAACTGACATTTGGATTAAAATAGTATTTTGTTTATAAAGGACCAGAGAGTGCATCTCTTTTCAAGAGATATAGATATATATATAGAGATATATATATATATACATATACATACACACACACACACACACACACTTAATGTTATTCTACATGTATTTTAATAAATATATGATTAATATTAAAATATACTTTAAATAATTATTTATGTAGGTGTATATAAAAGTACTTTGAAATTATATATATATACACATATATATACACACACATTATATATATATATATATATATATATATATATATATATATATATATATATATATATATATATATATATATATATATATAAAATCCAAGTTCCTTTATTTATTTATTTTTTTTAAATGGTTTAACAACTTTTATTCACTTTGAAACAGGCAGGCAGGCCCCCTGCAGGCACTGCACGAGCCGGCTATTCCGGACATGTGATCGCGAAGACCCCGCGATCAAATGGCACGTGAGGGCCGGATCAAGATCGCGATCGTCAGCGGGAGATTGCCAGTGATCAGGTAAGTGGGGATTTACTATCGGACGTACAAGGTACGTCTGAGGTTATTAACATACATTTTTTTGCCGGACGTGCCTGGTACGTCCAAGGTCAGGAAGGGGTTAAAGAGTTATTCTAAGAACCTCTGACATCATCATTAGCTAGTCTGGATCAACAGTTTGGCGCTAGCTGATGTTAGTTCTGTGCATACTGGAAGTCATTTGTCAGCACACACAAAATGATGGTTACAGGAATTCGATGGCAGCACAACCCTCCCCCCCAAAGTCTCAGGTTGTCCTTCCTTTAAACAGAAATAGTTACCAGGTCTACCAATCAAACAATTACTGTGTACTACCAATCATGAGAAAATAGGTTACTTAGGAATACTTTTTGAAAACCAGTGTAAAGTGTTTTGCTTTCCAGTGGGTTTAATTAATTTAAAATGTCTTATCTACTGCACTGTTAATTGCATACTAGTGCCTACAGCAAGCTCCTGCTTGTGTTAAGGTTCAAGTGGGGGGGAGGGGGAAGAGGGAGATAGAGAGAGAGAGATTTCTAAAGTAAACACTAAAAAGGTAAACTATGTGCTCTAAAAATTTAACTTTTTTTTGTGGAGCAGTGGGTTACTGCTACGGTAAGTGTGGCTAGGACTGCATAAACAGAAACAAACATGATTTAACCCCTAAATGTCAGATAATTGAGCAGTGAGACTGCAGGGACATGTTCTATACCAAGGGTAGGCAACCTTCAGGACTCCAGATGTTGTGGACTACATCCACCATAATGCTTTTACACCCATAATGCTGGAAAAGCAAACCCAAACATCTGGAGTGCCGAAGGTTGCCTATACCTGATCTATACACTAAAACAGCTACATTAAAGGACCACTATAGGCACCCCGACCACTTCAGCTTAATGAAGTGGTCTGGGTGCCAGGTCCAGCTAGGTTTAACCCTTTTTGCTGTAAACATAGCAGTTTCAGAGAAACTGCTATGTTTATAATAGGGTTAATCCAGCTTCTAGTGGCTGTCTCATTGACAGCTGCTAGAGGCACTTTCGCGCTTCTCACTGTGATTTTCACAGTGAGAAGACGCCAGCGTCCATAGGAAAGCATTGAGAATGCCTTCCTGTGGACTGGCTGAATACGTGCGGCACTCTTGCCGCGCATGCGCATTCAGCCAATGACGTCGCTATGGAGGAGAGTTCCCCGCCCGGCTCTGGAGAAAGAGGTAAGCTTAACCCCTTCCACCCCCTAGAGCCCGGCGGGAGGGGGGCCCTGAGGGTGGGGGCACCCTCAGGGCACTATAGTGGTCCTTTAAGTTTAAAGTTGTTTTGGTACTTAGAGTATCCCTTTAAAAACAGAACCAAGTACCCTCAGAACCCATGAGGACTCAGTATGGGTCAAATAAGCAAATACTGAAATTTGCCAAATACTCTGGAGGGGCTGCAATTTTGAATGTTTGTCCACTGACAAAGAAATGATCAGCCTATAATTTTAATGGTAGGTGTATTTTAACAACAAGAAACAGAAAAAAAAAATCCTGAAAAATGTATGTCAAAAAAGTTATAAATTGATTTGCATGTCAATGAGTGAAATAAGTATTTTACCCCTTTGACTTAGTACTTGTTTGCAATCACAAAGTACAGACGTTTCTTGTAGTTGTTCACCAGGTTTGCACACATCTCAGAAGGGATTTGTTCCCACTCCTCTTTGCAGATCCTCTCCAAGTCATTAAGGTTTCGAGGCTGACATATGGCAACTCGCACCTTCAGCTCCCTCCACAGATTTTCTACGGGATTAAGCTCTGGAGACTGGCTAGGCCACTCCAGAACCCTAATGTGCTTCTTCTTGAGCCACTCCTTTGTTGCCTTGGCTGTGTGTTTTGGGTCATTGTCATGCTGGATTACCCATCCACAACCCATTTTTTTAATGCCCTGGCTGAGGGAAGGAGGTTCTCACCCAAGATTTGACGGTACATGGCCTTGTCCATTGTTCCTTTGATGCGGTGCAGCTGTCCTGTCCCCTTAGCAGAAAAACACCCCCAAAGCATTATGTTTCCACCTCCATGTTTGATGGTGGGGATGGTGTTCTTGGGGGTCATAGGCAGCATAGGCAGTAGTTCTGGGCTGATTCCTTACCGTTCTTATGATCAATGAAACTCCACGAGGTGAGATCTTGCATGGAGCAGCAGACCGAGGGAGACTAACCGTTATTTTGTGTTTCTTCCATATTTTCTAATAATTGCATATAATGTGGTCACCTTCTCACCAAGCTGCTTGGATATGGTATTGTAGCCCATTCCAGCCTTGGACAGCTGTTTGGTCTTGGCCATGGTGGAGGGTTTGTAATCGGATTGATTGCTTCTGTGGACAGGTGTCTTTTAAACAGGTAATGAGCTGAGATTAGGAGCACTCCCTTTAAGAGCTCGTTACCTGTATAAAAAAAGACACCTGGGAGCCAGAAATCTTGCCGATTGATAAGGGATCAAATACTTATTTCACTCATTGACATGCAAATCAATTTATAACATGCGTTTTTCTGGATTTTTTTTTTGTTATTCTGTCTCTCTCTGTTAAAATACACTTACCATTAAAATTATAGACGGATCATTTCTTGGTCAGTGGACAAGCGTTCGAAATCAGCAGGAGATCAAATAATTTTTTCTCTCACTGTAGGATATTCCTCAAGAGTATCAAAACATGTCTTTCGAAGAAAAGAGAACACATGAACATGTGAATTACCTTCGAATAAATGCATTAAAGGACCACTATAGTGCCAGGAAAACACTCATTTTCCTGGCACTATAGTGCCCTGACGGTGCCCCCACCCTCAGGGTCCCCCTCCCACCGGGCTCTAGGGTGAGGAAGGGGTTAAACTTCTCTTTCTCCAGAGCTCACCTCTCCTCCCTCTTCTTCCGTCACCGGCCGAATGCGCATGCGCGGCAAGAGCCGCGCGTGCATTCAGCCAGTCCATAGGAAAGCATTCTCAATGCTTTCCTATGGACGCTGGCGTCTTCTCATTGTGAAAATCACAGTGAGAAGCGCGGAAGAGCCTCTAGCGGCTGTCAATGAGACAGCCACTAGAGGCTGGATTAACCCATAGGTAAACATAGCAGTTTCTCTGAAACTGCTATGTTTACAGAAAAAAGGGTTAATCCTAGCTAAACCTGGCACCTAGACCACTTCATTAAGCTGAAGTGGTCTGGGTGCCTATAGTGGTCCTTTAATCTATCCAACTCATGTAAGACTTCCAAACTAAGGACTGGCATAAAAGGCAGCACACAGGAAACCCAGAGGAGGACTTTATCAAATTATACCAAAAGCAACCAGTAACAACAGCATGGTCTTTACTGTTTTGTTAATGTTTAAAAGCAATAAAAACTTCCAAAGTCAATGAGCACTGAAGGTGACACGGGTAGAGCAGGAATGTCATTAATCACTGGAGCAGATGTTGGGCTGTGGGGTACAAGTCTATTCAGCCACAGAGTTAGTGATGTGTGTATATTGATCATCGCCATATGAAATGTAATTGTGTTCAATGTTAGAGAACATCAGGTGCTGGTACTAGGGATAAGTGGCTCTGAGTGGTAGTTAATGTCATCAAATGCTTGAGTGATCATCAAATAACTGACCTACACTGCAGCATTGCAGCTTCACAAACCATTAAATGGTTAAATGCTTACCACAAATTTGCCTTTTCCAGCTGCTTTACAAAAACTGGTTGCGCAGCCATTTTTAAAACGGCAAACATTAAGGAAGCAGAGTAACATTTGTGATGGGGAACAGTCCTTAGTAAGCATGAAGATTAAAAACCAAATTTATAGAATAACTATTTTTAGAGAAGTTCATTATTATACATCTCAGCAGTAAATTATTTGGGTGCTGTGCCAAACATAGACAGTGTTTTTGTGCTCACAATTTTTTCAGTAAGTGTGAAAGGGGCTCGTTTACATTCTTCCTCAGAATAAAATGTCTGAGTGCTAAATTCATGTACTTTCACTCAATGCTTAGGCTTTAAACTTTTTAGGATAAATGACAGCCCATCAACGGATAAGCAGGTTCTAAACTTTCTAATAATTGCACATCAAGTCCTTTCAGTATGGCTTATGTTTACAGTTAGAAATAGTTAGTGAATGCAGTGGCCGCAGTCAAAATGGTCAGGTTACAAGCCATCTACAGGTTTTACAGACTTTCAGGAAAGCAAGAGATCAGGTTGACATGTTCCATTGTTAAATGTGGCAGACATGCTTTTTAAGTGTTATATTCCCAAACAGACATAAGACCCCTGGGTTAACAGTAAAGGTGCACTTTGCTAGCGCCCGCCCTTTTAAGGGTTAGAGGGACACTATATTGTCGCCAGAACAATTACAGCTGCCTGACACATATCCGAGTGGGTACAGGGCTGAGAGCCGCACTCCCAGCATAGTCATAGCCCAGGATTGGGGGAGCATAAAAGATTTTCTAAGTGTATCTGAGGAGTGCTTATAAAAAGATGTGACGAACCTATGCCTGCATGCCAACAGAGACACCACTGCGTGCCAGTTGTGGCCCAAGAGCCATAGGCTTGCCATCACTGCCCTATAGCATGAACGAAGTGAGTGTGTGTCTGTTTGTGATTGTGTGTGTGTTCTCTCCAATCACATGGGAAAGGTATTTTTACTTACCTTTTTTTCCATGCCGTGCTGGTGACGCCACGGCTGGCCCTTACCTCCATGGCTGAGATCATCAATCTTGACGATCTCAGCCAATCCAATGAGTCCCCATAAGAAAGCATTGTGAGACTATTGCGCATGCACAGCAAAATGCCACTGTGTCTCAGAGATATAGTGAACATTAATGTAGGTTCTGCACATTGCGAAGCACTGACCCAGGAAGACCTATAGAGGCCAACTGAGTGACTGTCGCTAGATGTGTCACCAGGCAGCAAAGTAAACACTGCCTTTTGTCTGAAAAGTCAGCGTTTACATTGAAAAGTGTTCAGGGACAGGATATAGACTTCAGAACAACTACATTAAGCTGTACTGGTTCTGGTGACTATAGTGTCCCTTTAAGAACTGTATTTTTGGCATTTATTTCCCTGGCTCCTAGATTCCAAGCTAATTTGTCAAGCCCTGATTTACACATAGAAGACACTGGCGTTCGCACACACACATTTACACACTCACTGACAGACACACTCCCCCACTAATTTGACACACACAGACAGACACAAACTATTATTTTGTTATTTTTATTTCAGTCCACCCAGTCTCGCTGCCTTTGAGAGAGCTGGAGTGGAGCCTTTCCCTCGTGTCCAGTTAGGATCTTTCTCCTGAGGTCCAGGGTGAGACTTGTGTACTCTTCTGCTTTTCCAGCACTGCTCACTTGCATGCTGTATAGTGATGGCGGGTCCCAAATGACATCATGACCCGGCATCACCGCAGGGCACTCAAAAGAAAAGTGCTGTAAGATTATAAAGATTAGAACTCTCTCGCTTCCTCCACCTCTATTCTCCACCCAGACACTGTATTTGGGAAGAGTAGGCACGTGCTGTTTGGGTAAGATTGATTGCAGTTATTGTCTCCAAATGCTGTGCAATAAAATATTGGGATAAAGGAACACAAACATGTTTTCCTGACACTATAGCATTACAACCACCATCTAGCCGACCTGCCCCCATAAATATAGTTAAATATAACTTGTTTCGGTATGCTGCTGCTGCTGGTTCTGCCCCTGATCTGCCTGCTTAGCTGTCATCATCAGAAGTGATTCTTTCAGCCAATAACAGTACTTTCACATTGGAACACATTGGATTGGCTGAGACTGCCAAGGAGGCAGATCAGGGGCAGAGCCAGCAAAAGTAAAGCACAGCCCTGGCAAATCAGCAGCTCATCATAGAGCTGCATTGAATCAATGCATCTCTATGAGTAAAGTTCAGTGTCTCCATGCAGAGGGTGGAGACACTGAATTTTAGTCACACTGTGCAGTACTGCCACAGGAAGCCCCTGTAGTAGCCATATGAGGAGTGACCAGTGGAGGTATAGATAGACTGTAATCAGTGGTGTATTTTGTATCTGTGCTGCCCTAGGCGTGACGGAACTCGGGCAACCCCTAATATAAATTTGCCTCACCCTTCCTGTCAAGGCCACACCTCTTCCTGTTAAAAGTAACAGACACTTTGACTGACAGACACACATACACACACACACACACACACACACACACACACAATGACGCAGACACACACTCACTGACTGATAACCACCCACTGACAGACACAAACAATCACTCAGACACAGACACACTCACTGAAACACAGGCTCCCTCACAGACATACACACACACACACAGAAACATCCCCCCCCCCAAACACATTTACAGATTATTTTTTTATTTTAATTGAAATCCACCCAGCCTCTCTACCTTTGGGAGAGCTGGGTAGATTTTTTACCTGGCTCAAGTGGAGCTGCTGGTCGGGCTGTTTGAGCAGGAAGGCGGCTAGCTGAGCTCCAGGCGGGTGGCCAGGGAGCACTAATTTGTGAGCTCTTCCTGCTCAGCTCCCTTGCTGGCCAGCATCACTCTGCTGAGCAGGGAGAGCTCACAAATCAGCGCTCCCTGGCCACCCACCTGGAGCTCAGCTAGCCACCAGCCCAGAGGCTAACAAGGCATTTGCCTGGGCATTTGGGGGCGGTGTTTTTTGCTGTCCCCTGGAAAGTGCCGCCCAAGGCAAATGCCTTGTTAGCCTTGCGGCAAATACAGCACTGGCTGTAATGACTCAATTTTCTCTGAAAAAATCAAGTTTTACTGCAAAAAGCTTGAAGGGAATGATTATACTCACAAGGACAAATACAATAAGCTGTAGTTGTTCTGGTGACTATAGTGTCCCTTTAAGAACACCAATATTTTTTCTGTGCTATTTTCATTTGTTTTACTGTTTAAAGTAATATGTGAAGTCTTAAATTAAAATGGAAGTTTCTGTTCTATTATATTTGAAATAAGGAAGGGTGGATAACAAATACATTTGTCAATGTTTGCTTAGTGCTAAGAAAACTATTTTTTTCATAAAAAGTGAAAGGGTGCCAATACTGTCGGCCACATCTCTTTTGAGTGGATTGAGCACCTTGTGTCAAATGAATCATTGCAGCAAAGATTTGGTGAAATATTTGTATATGCCATAAATTGGTCTGCCAGGGCAAAGGTCATTCATGACCTTGTAACACATGATTTTACCTTAGTCCTTCCAATCACCAGATCTGTCAATCGAGGAAGTAAGGTCTGAGAGCATGACATGCTACGCTTGGGCAGAACTTTTTAAATCCAAAACCGACCGCTGCAGCACGCTAACTTATATCTGGCTTACAACCGGCAACAACTGCAAAATTTCAAATATCTCATTACTTCTCACTAGACATATAAATAACTGAATGGCATGCCCAGGTCAGGGAATGGAATAAACATCCACACCTTCCCTGAGAAACTACCTAATATGTGGAACCTATGCATCCAGCCATGAAGACTAGCTCCATTAGTGACATTGACTAGAATGTATCAGGGAACTCCTGGCACTATAACCACTATAGAAGACGGTAGCAGTAATGGTGCTTTGAGTGTTCGTTTATGACAATTTAAGTCCCCCTCTCCCACCCCAAAAATATATTCCAATTCACCTCTTAGTCTGTATTCTGAAAACCAGTTATCAACTCACCACTAGGTAGTAATACACAAAACCTGGCAACCAATGACGGCGTGCTAGATATTAGTGATTCGGAGCTTTCCTGTGGGTTACCATGGAAATATCTGACTCACTGACCATATAAACCTGCCGGAGGTGTAAGATCACAGACTTCTCCCACAAGACCAGCAGGTATCATAATGACTCCATTCTCCCACCCTGGCCAATAGTAACCAACATGGAGTTGGCTATGAAAACCTTTATTAATAACTTTTTTTATATTAAATATTTGTACGTATAAAATGTACACACCATTGTAAACATCCAAACGAACATACACAACGTCACATACAAAATACACAGGCAGTCCACAAATATACACAGCACCACAATACCGCAAACAGCATAGCACTAACGGAAAGTTGCTTACCTCTGCCGTAAAGATAAAGCTGTATCTGAATAAACCTGGATGGGTCAGTACTACTGGCTAGCATGGCTATGGTTCTTTGTGATTTGTAATGTCCACATGCACACACAGTAGTTATGATGTTTTGTAAAATAATGTACTTTAGCAAATGAATGTGTTGACTGAAATTACATTTTTACACTAGCCCTACACCCACATGTATACATATACTGCATGTAAGGTTAACATTCCATAATAGGATGCTAATAATGCATGAATAGCAATCCATAATGCAGGGCTGCACGTGATCATTTATAATCTACTATTTATAAATCTGATTATGCAACCAGGGATCTGTAGGTAACATTGGTGTCACTATTTTCAAACACAATCCACACTTCTACTGCTATTTTATGGTGTGTATTTAACACAAGCGCTAATCTAAACCTTTCTGTTCATAAAGGAAATATTGGTTTAAATATATGCATTCTGTGTTATTCAGACTTCCTTTAGCGCACTGCTGATATGCATGTTGGCATGCAGGTGCTTCAATCTATTTGCAGGTCATGCTAACGATTATTTATTAAACTGAGAAGGAAAATGTACATTTTAGGCCATATATATATATATATATATATATATATATATATATATATATATAAATATATAAAATATTCCTATTCTGTTATTTTTACATCTCTGCTATTTTGGCTTACAATTTGATTAATTCAGTACAGCTCAATCTCAGGGTAAGTAAGTGGATAACCAGTTTTATGCTGACTTCTACTGATGCCTTGGGTACAAGCTAGCATTGTCACCCACTTTTAGGTTCATTGATAACAATTTAGAAAACAACAACACTATCTTAGATGTAAAAACAAAATATTAAAAATATATTTAAGGGATTTCAAATTGTGTATTGGTGCATTTTAAGAATGGATCCTTTTGTTCTTTTAGCTCTTTTTGCTCAGTTAGAAATTATAGCTTTTAAAAAAAATAATGTAAACACAGTAAAAATACAAATCAACAAATATTTCACAACTTGGCACCACTGGCAACTATAGGGCAGGGTGGAACCAAGACAGGGCCCCGTTTTTCTGTAGTGCACATGAACACATGATAGTGATGCCAGTACCAAGGGGTGAACAAAGAGTATGTGCTCTACTTTTGAAGAACTACAACTCCCATAATGCTCTGCAATACTGGCTGTCATAACATGCAGAGATTTGATGTTCTATAAGAGCTGGAGACGAGCCTTTGTGGCCATCCCTGCCACCAGCACGGATAGGGCTATCTCTGGCACTCCACCAGGCTTGGACTACTATTCCCATGAGGCTCTGCCAGGCTGCTGGGGGTACCAGAGGTCATCCCTCACTGGCACTGGGTATGAAAGTGGGTGAACGTAATGGAGGCCGGTTGGCATGCTCCCAGGGCCATATTAACCCTCTCAGCACCCAGGGGCCCCCTCACCACACCCACCCAGCTCGTACTGGTACCATCACCACCTCACACCATTATGCTCCCAGGGGCCACATCACACCCGAATTCCCGGCTCCCAGGGGCCCCATCATCCCCCACCCGGCTCCCAAGGGCCCATCATCCCCCCACCCGGCTCCCAGGGGCCCATCACTCACAAAGCTGTCCCCGCAGCCGTTGTCCGGACACAGCACGTAGAAGGACACCCCGGGGTCGGCGTAGAAATCCATCCTGCGCTCGGTCTCCTCGGTGGCGATCAGGTCGAAGGGGGTGTTGGAGCACCACTTGTCCGCCACGTCCGCCAGCTGCTGGAAATCCATGTCTGCGGGCGGGCGGCGGCCCCCTGTGTCTGCGATCCCCCCGGTCCCTGAGATGTGGGGCGGCTGGCTGGCTGCTCGGTGCCGGGCTAGGTGTGCATTGTTTACATGCTGCTCATGGAGGCTGTGACACGGGCGGAGAGGGAAGGCCACACACCGGGTCTGCAGTGGATGCTCGGGGTTATTGTTCGCCTCACTCACTGGCCGCTCGCCCCGGGTTGGGCTGTTCCTGCTGCTGTGACGCAGACAATGCAGTTCGGTGACGTCACGGCAGGACCAGCCTCGCCAGCCAGCGGGTTGTCAGGTCCCGTGACGTCACAAAGGCGGTGCCCGACCCCAGCAGCACTCCTGGGTCTCCAGCCAGAAAGGGGGATGGCGCCAGTGCTGGCTCACTGCAGTGTCTGCACCCTCCCCCCTCTCACTGGCTGTCACTGGCAGTGTGCACACAATGGAGCCAGGGCCTGGCCTGCCATGATTTTATAGGATTTTATATCAGATGAGGATGGAGATACTATCTATGACTATATATAAAGAGAGAGTTAGATACACTACAAGCCTTAGCAACTTATATATTGCAAAGACCCCTTAAGGTGATGTGAAGGCCATGCCTGGGGTACAGTAGATATACAAATGTTAAAGAGACATCTAAATGAAGTTGTTATGGTGCCAATAGGCCCCTGGCGCGCTGTTACCTGAACAGGATAAACCTTTCTGGAACGCTTGATCTGTTATTCAGCGGCGCCTCTGTCTGACATTCAGAAACTGGGTGCCGCCTGTGGGGGGTGGGGGGGTACCTACAGATTGGCACTGGAGGCACACTTGGAGGTCAAAGTGCTAGAGAATAGTTTAAGCCCTTAACGTAAGAGTGTGCCCGTAGGCCTCCTGGCACCATAACAACTTTTCTTATATCTTTTGACTGCGTTCTAACACAGTAATTGTAGTTCATGAAGGACGCTATCTTTATGAAAAACAAAATTTTTGATGAGCTGACAAAACCACTTTATAGGATTACTCCCAGCCCGCTGTAGTGGTTGTGGTGCCAAGAGTCCCCTGGCACCATCCCAGGATAAGTGTTCAAACGACTTGGGAATAGTTTGACAACTTACCTGGGGTCCACTGGGCACCAGTCGCCTTCTCCTGTGCCTCCATAAGCTCCTGCAGAGGCTCAGCTGTATTTAGAATTATGGAGTTATGAGAAAGGAGTATAGCTAAGGGTGCAGTAATCTCCAAAACATTCATGAGATTCCATATGCATCTACTGAGCATCTGGCAAAAACATTCCTTTTTCTTTCAGCTGTTTGTCGTGAAAAATGGTGAAATGAAAATATAACAGCAGATGTTGCTTGGGTTTTCCCTCCTTTGACACATTTTGCCATAAATTGGCACTTACATGAGATAAAGCAGTCCCTACCTATTATGTATATTGTCTGCTTGTGTTGGAATTTCATTAAAAAAAAACCTCATAGCTCAATAAGCATTTTATAAAATGCCCAAATAGATTTAACCCTTAAAGTGCAGCTGTCATAATAAATATGACTCCTGGGTTCAGTAAAAAGTAAATTGCCAGGAGCACAAAGTAAATTTCACATTTTACGCAAAACAGGTAAGTTTAAATCACTTTGAATTCCCTAAAATTCACACTAACACTCTAACTCTGGCCTTGATTTAATAAAGCTAATGAAATTGGGACCTCTGTTTGTGTCACATAAAGGATAACATTTTGTCTATATAAATACCACAGCCCAAGAATATACATTTTACCACATGACAGGAGGCTTCATGTCTTGCATAACTTTTTACTGAACTCCATCAGCAAAGATCATAAGAACAACCAACCAGAAAAAAAGATAACATGCATATAAAACCCTGCCAGCCTAAGCACCTCCTCTTTCTTTGCTGGTCCTGCTGTGCACAGGTTGTAACGGATCACCTGGCACCCCGACTGGGTACCTCTGTTAAAGGATGCTCCTAGCGTTTCCTGAGGACTCCAAGCACTCTGGCCGACACCACAATCACCGAACCGAAGAAGCGTATCCCTTCTCTCAAGCATATGAATGCTATAAACAGCTGAATAGGCAAAAACCATACGGATGGGTTTAGACTCCTAGCAGTCAAACTGGAACAGCATACAATAAATCCTCCCCCAATAATGAGACGACACTTCACTTTGAGGGTTAAGCAGGAACTGACTGGACTGGCACATACAGCCTCTTTTATTCCCAATCCACAAATTTAGTACTGCCCACAGGGTTTTACATAACAACCAATAACACACGTACATTACAGAAAGACACTCCCACACAAAATCCTCCCCTCTGGCTGTGATATGATTACTGAACACAATGGTTAATCTAATTATCACAGCCAGAGAAATACAGTTTTTCCACATTATTCATAACTTGAAAAGTATGCATCACATTCACATACATTTTCAGAATCAGCATACTCCAAATACAAACATATGTCAAAATCATACATATTGGTCCAGTGGTTCAAAAGTTAAGGAAAAGTCCTATTTGACCAAATGCAGCATGGCTTTTCTGCCCAAAACCAGTTCCACAGAGTCTTCTATCCTGGAGATAATTGGGGAAGTAATCCAATTATCTCCAGGACAGAGGCAAAACTCCATTAGCCACATGGCAGCAAAAGACAATAAAACACATAAAAACATATAACTGTGCAGCCATTGCACAAAACAGGTACATTCAACATATCCCCAGATAGCTCAGATCTAAGTGCACATTATTACTGAATGGCGCTCAGAGCACACACATACAGTTCAATTGCCATGGAGCCAAAGTCTTTCCCATAGTCTTTCATTATACAAATGGGCTCCATGGCATAGCTATCTGTGTAACACTGCTCACATAGGGAAAGTACCGAAAGACCCAGCTTTTGGGTCTTTGCAGGAGAAAATCCATCCTTTCAACATGGGGCCATAGTCACAGGGCAGGAGGCCGGCAATCAGTCTTCTCCAATGCCCAGTGGCGAGGCTGGTTCCGCCACACAGGTCAACTATTTTGTCTTTGTGACTTATTTTATTGATTGATTTGATTGTTTTCCTTATATTTTATCTAGTCTTCCACCTGTCTTAACTCTTATCCCCCTTTATTTTGCAGGTACTGGCTTTCTTGGATCTTGCGAATACTGCGAGATTCATGGTGGCCATCATGGTCTGCGTTCCAGAAAACAATCACGCAATCTGGAACTCCCCTACACTTCAGGACCTATTTCTATGCCTATCTGGACTACTTTTCAAGGTACCTTCATACAAGTATATGTTATCTATTCTGTTATACCAACATGTAAACTTACAGTACAAGGAACATAAGGATGGATGCCTTATCTATCTATCTATCTATCTAATATTGTGTGTAAGGATTCATTGCTGCCATAAAGAAATATTGTGCCATATCACTGTTATTGTACGTTTCCCCTGCAGACACACCTCCTGGGGTGAGTCCTCTGTTACTCATATTGTATATTCTGCTGATACAGACTTTTCAGGGGTGAGCCCCTTTTCATAGTACCCTATCAGTCTGTTTCCAACTCTAATAGAATCATCTACAGATTATTTATTGCTGTCCATGGGGGTATAACTCTGTATTTTAGAGGGTGAGCACCTCTCACATTGAAACTTATAAAGATAAACACACTGTCAAGGCTCCCGGCTCGCCGGTTCGCGCTTAACCGGCACAATCACTCCGACAAGCTGAGCTTACCTGCTCAGCGGTAAGCCGGGAACTGCTCCTCCAAATCTTCTGGGCAGTTTGCCCAAAACAAAGATGGTTCCGACCATGTGGTCGCGGCCATCAATGACTCCGCCCACCAGGGTTATACGAACGTGCGTGTGACATCACAACGCCAACGCACACGCACGTTCTGGGGTCAGAGGTCACCCTCTGACCAATTGCAGTCCAGAGAGGGATATATAAATCCCTGAAGCGTCCCAGTACCTTGCCCTGTCGTGGTTTCCTGTCCTGGTTCCCGAAAGTGCGTTTATCTTTGCTGTTATTGTTATTCCCGGTATTTTGACATTGGCTATTCCTGACTACTCTGATTTCTGATTCCCCTGACTTGGCTTATTTAACGGTATTTGTGTATTTCTGGCTTCCTTGACCTTGGCTATCCCTTGACCATTCTCTGTCTCTAACGTATTAGTCCGGCCATTCTAAGTACCGGTTTACATTCTATCCTTTATGTTTCTTTCTATGTAGATGTTACATAGTTCTGCGTGCTGGACCACACTAGCAGTCGTGACACACACACGAGACACATACTATTGCCATTTCCAGGTGAGACCCAGTTGTACCAGGAGTCTGGCACCTTGTGTGCATTGTCATCTGTCCTTCTACCACTGACTTTTTCTTCTTCCTATTTTTGTGGCGTGAGAGGCATGGTCAAAGAGGTGGACCTATGGAGCATTCTGCAACACATTTTTTGAAATGCAAAAACTATAAAGATTTTAACTTGAAAAAATACATTTTATACAACTATCAAATGCATTAAAGTTTTATTGATGCCTGGAGTATCTTTTAAGCTATAGCGGCTATGTCACTTTAATATTTTACTTTTTAAATTTTTAGGCATTCAAATTTTATTCACTTTTACAATCAATTCGTGATTTTCAGGTAATCTTCACTTATATTTTTCAAAAGTAATGAGCTACTATATCAACATGCAAGGGAGCTTTTGGTTAATATGTATTAATTTACCATCTGTATCTACTAACTATTATAGTCCTATATCTATTAATTAGTGTTTTATAATATTTGGATATATTGTGCCTTTGACAAATGGTGATATAGATGAATACAATGCATGGGACATGGCACATATCAATTTAGACAAAGAAATAACTGATCATAGCTATGTTGCATGTAAGTAAGGCAGCCTGTGATTAAAGGAATAAGTATGTCTCGTTATATGCTACTGGACTCAGACAAAATAGGTCTTTAGGATGGTTTGTTACTGTCACACACTTGATTATTTCAAGCAAATTACCTAGTGGGAAAAACAAGTCAGATTAAATCATGGTTAGATACTCACAGTTCAAGATGCATTTGTATTTTTGGTTCATGGAAATATCTGAACCTCCAGCTCACTGAAATGAAAAGTCTTTAACACTTTTCCTGAAAAATATCCTATATAGATCTTTTGTGGAATAAAAGAGGGTTCGACTACCTAACTGTTTTTCCTGATCAACCCCACTCACGTCAGCCATTAGGAAATCTCCCCTCACTGGAGTCCCTCAAGGCTCAGTTCTTGTCCCTCTTTTAATCTCTATTTTTATCACATCTCTTTGGAACCTTATTGTCCGTATTGCCCCTCTATAGTCTGTGATGAATGCTGCCGCCAGTCTGATTTTCCTCTCTTTGTCAGTCCTTACATTGACTTCCTGTATACTATAGGATTCAATTCAAAGTACTAACCCATGCC